CCAGGGTCCTGGGATCGAGCCCCACATCGGGCTCCCTGCTCAGCGGGAAGCCTGCTTCTCCCTCTCCCACTCCCCCTGCTTGTGTTCCTTCTCTCGGGGTGTCTCTCTGTCAAATAAATAAAATCTTAAAAAAAAATAAATAAAAAAGTGAAAAACCCAGTCAGAGGAAAGGTTTAAGACTGACCTGGGAAGACTACACAGCTACATGATTAGCATCATGCCTCAGAGAAAATAAAGAAAAATGCAAATCTGGATCAAGGAAAAGTGAGCAGACTGGATGTTTAAAATGACATGAAGAAAAGGCTTGTTTTTTTTAACTGAAGATTTCGCTCAGCACTTTTACTCAACATAGTGATGACATCCTAGCTGGAGCAATTAGGCAAGACAAAGAAATTAAAAGGTATCCAAAATGAAAAAGAAAGAAGTAAAACTGTCATTATTTGCAGATGATATATTCTTATATTGAAAATCCAGGGGCACCTGGGTGGCTCAGTCGTTAAGCATCTGCCTTCAGCTCGGGTCATGATCCCAGGGTCCTGGGACTGAGTCCTGCATCGGGCTCCTTCCTCAGCAGGGAGCCTGCTTCTCCCTCTGCCTGCCCCTGCTTGTGCTCTCTACCTCTGACAAATAAAGTATTTAAAAAAGGAAAAAATATCCAAAAGACTCAAATAAAAACTGTTGGATCTAATCAGTGAATTCAGTAAAGTTGCTGGATATGAAATTTATACACACAAATCATTTGCATTTCTATACAATAACAATGAAACATCTTGGGGGGAAAACCTATCTCGTTCAAAGTAGCATCAAAAACAACAAAATACCTAGGAGTGAATTTAACCAAGGAAGTGAAAGATCTGTGCAATGAAAAATATAAGATTCTGTTGGAAGAAATGAGACACAAATGGAAGAATATCTTGTGTTCATAGATTAGAAAAAATAATACTGTTAAAATGTCCATGCCATGCAAAGCTATCTACAGATTCAACACAATCCCTATCAAAATTCCAATGGCCCTTTTCACAGGAATAGAAGAAACAATCTTAAAATTTGTACGGAACCGCAAGACCCCTAATAGCCAAAACAATCATGAGAAAGAACAGGTAGCATCGCATTTCCTGATTTCGACTATATTAGAAAGCTATTGTAACCCAAACAGTATAGTATTGGCTAAAAATAGACCAATGGAACAGAATAGAGACACAATTAAAACCCCACATATACAGTCAGCTAGTATTATTTGATAAGAGCCAAGGATATCAAATGGGGAAAAGATAGTCTCTCCAACAAATGGTGTTGGAAAACTGGATAATCCCATGCAGAAAAATGAAATTGGATCCCTATCTTACACCACTCACAAAAATTACCTTGAAATGGATCAAAGACTTAAACATAGACCTGATGCTATAAAACTCTTAGAAGAAAACAAGGGAAGCTCCAAGACAGTAGTTTTGGCAATGATTTTTTGGATATGATACCAAAGGCACAAACAAAAGAAAAAAATCAACAAGTCGGACTATATCAAACTTAAAATCTTCTGCATTGCAAAAGAAACAATTAAAAAAAAATAAAAAGGCAACCTATGGAATAGGAGAGAATATTTGCAAACCATGTTACCAGATAAGGTGCTGATACCCAAAATTTTATAAAGAACTCATGTAAGTCAATAACAAAAAAACCAATCTGATTAACCCGTGGCTAGAGGAACTATACAAACATCTTTCCAAAGACATCCAAATGGCCAAGAGGTACAAGAAAAGGTGCTCAATATCACTAATCATCAGGGAAATGCAAATGAAAACCACAACGAGATATCACCTCACACTTGTCAGAAAGGCGAGTATCAAGAAGATGAGAGATATATGTCAGTAAATATGTGGAGAAAAGGGAACATTTGCGCACTGTTGGTAGGACTGTTAACTGGTCCAGTCATTTTGGAGAATATGGAGGTTCTTCAAAAAACTAAAAATAGGGGCTACCTTCTGGGGTCCCCTCCCTCCTTGGAGCTTTGTACTATCACTTTACTATCACTCAATGAACTTTGCTTTTGCTGCCCACCAAAAAATAAAATAAATAAATAAATAAATAAATAAGGGGTGCCTGGATGGCTCAGTCAGTTAAGCATCTAACTTTGGTTCAGGTCTGGGCTCTCTGCTCAGTGGGGAGCCTGCTTCTCCCACTCCCTCTGCCTTCCGCTCCCCCTGCTTGTGCTCACTCTCTCTCTCAAATAAGGAAATAACCTTAAAAAAAATTAAAAAGTGAACCACCATATGGTTCAATAATCCCACTTCTGGGTATATACATATCCAAACGAAATGAAAACAGGATCTCAGAGATATCTGCACTCTCATGTTTATTGTAGCATTGTACGCAAGAGACAAGATATGGTAACAACTTAAGTGTCCATCAAAGGATAAAGAAGATGTGGCATATATACAACGGAATATTATTCAGTCCCTTGAGATGCTCTGAGAAAAAAGGAAATGCTGTCATTTACGACAATAAGGATGGCCCTTAAGGACATTATGCTAAGTGAGATAAGTCAAACACAGAAAGACAAATACTATATATTTTTATATGTGGAATAGAACTGAACTCAAATAAGAGAGTGGAATGATGGTTACCAAAGGCTTGGGTGGGGGGATGTTGTTTAACGGTACATACTTGCAACTAGTAGGTAAATAAATCCTGAAGATCTAACACACAGTAAAGGGATTACAAGGAACAAAACTATATTAAAAACATTAAACTTGGCAAGAGACTAGATCTTAACTGTTCCTACCACTAGGAACACAGGATACCACTAGGATATAGGAGTTAATGCTACAATGGCAATCATATTGCAATATAAATTCATCAAATCAGTGTTGTGCACCTTAAACTCACATGTTGTTATATGTCACTTATATCTCAATGAAGAATAAATAAGTGAATAAATAACTGAAGCCTTAATTAAATGGTCTTAAATGGTGCAGAAAATGTACCCATTCATATATATGTCCTTAGTGTCTTACATATGAAATAATTTTAGGTGACAATATTTTTAGTGTTCTAATTTCTTTTAAATGCTTCATAAATTATGACTTCACATTTATCACAAAGACTAAATGACCCTTACTAGTTGAATCTGTTTTTTAACAAAGAAGGATTTCGATAAATATTTGTTTAGATGCTGTCAAGTGTCCAGCTCTCCTGTCACAGAATGGCAGTGAACGTATATTAAGTCAGGTGAAGGGATGAGGCCCCTTTGCTCCCACCTGCCACCCCAAACATAAACAACTGAAAACAAACTGTCATGGGTTTGTAGGGAAACCTGAAAGAAATCATGAATGCATTCCTTTTTCTGTTATATCGACTTCTTTTCTTCCTCCTCCCTTATGCCTTTTCTCTTTTTTAAAAATAGTCCATGATTGCTTTTCAGCGCATACTAACACTGAGCTGTAGCTGAAGGTTTTGAAACTGCACAATAACCACTAGTTTCCTCTCCTTTTTAGATTCTCATTTGTAGAGTAAGGTCCAAGCTGAGTCAACTTCCAATAGGACCCTTTAGAAGACAGTAAGTGATGATCCGCTTCAGAAGATTTTCTCACAACGATGACACTTACAGGGTTTCTCTTTGGTATAATTTCTCAGACGCCGAGCAAGAGGTTTCCTCTGGCAAACATTTTCCTCAGGAGTTACATTCTCCCCAGTATGAGTTCTCTGGTGTTGACTGAGGTAAGTCCACTTGCAAAAGGCTTTCCCACATCTCTTACACTCACAGGGTTTCTCCCCAATATGAACACTTAGGGGGTGCGTGAGGGATGAACGAAAGCTGAAAGTGTGTTCACATTCACTGTATCCACAAGGTTTTCCCCACCGTGACTCCTCGTGTAGAGTTAGGGAAGAGCGGTCACAAAAGGCTCTCAGATCTTTATACTCAAAGGATTTTACCCCAGTGTGGATGCTATTAATGCCAGAAATGAAAATGGTGAATGAAGGCCTTCCTACATCACTGCACTCAGGCCTTCTCTCCTGGGAAAACCCTACATGATGAGTGAGAAAACAGCTGTCACCGAAGGTTTACCCACATACTTTGTACTTGAAGAGACTTTCTCTTGGGTGGGGGAAATTATTTTGGACAAAAGCAGAGCTGTCCCAGACTTTCCCACATTCCTTGCATTCACAAGGCCTCTCCCAGTGTGAATCTGCTGGTGCTGCATGAGGTCTGACCTGCAGCTGAAGGCCTTCCCACACTTGGAAGTACTCCCCTGGCTTCACTCAATGTAAATCCTCCCCTGGCTTCGCTCAATGTAAATCCTGCCCTCTCAAGAAAGGTTTTCTCACATTCGCTGTGGTCACAGGCTTCCCTCAGCATGATCTGCTGATGTCGAAACCATGCCAACATTTGTTAAACTTCCACTTGTAGAAATTCTGCCCATAGACCATGGAAGCTCTCTGTGGCCCATGTGAGTGGTTCATGGAAAGCACCCCCCCTCCCCTAGAGACTCACTCTCATGAAAGTCCTGAATGCAGATTAGCTGTTCCCACACCAATGTGCTTAGAGCTCACCTTCCTGGGAAGACTCTCCTTGTGGGAAAGTGTCCCAGGGTCAGGTGCCTTTCCTGCATTCCCAATGGCCCTTGTTCCCCGGTTCACCACAACCGAGAGTCCCTTGAGATGCTCTGAGTCAATCAACCCTGGAGTGAGGCTGCCTCCAACAAATAGAAGGCTTTATGGTCTCAGGTTGTGCTTTCTTGCCTAAAGCAAATCTGATACACAAAAGGCCTCCCCACACTCAGGACCCCTGTGTGGTTTCTCCCTGCTGCTGGATAAGTCCAGAGCTGACCACAAAGTTCTTCCCACCCTCCCTGCAAGTAGAAGCCTTCTCCAACACATGGGATCTGCAGATCTTCACAAATGAGGCCTGGCTCCCTTCCTTTCTGAAGAAACTTTCTCAACTCTGCGGCTTCTGCATCTGGTCAAGGTTTATACTACACCAGAAGTCTCTCCTGCTGCTCAGATGGTGTTCCCTGTGGCTCAGCCAGGTGCAAAGATGTCTTTCAAGACTGGGTCACACATATCACAGGGATGAACCTTTCGGGTGGAAGGACCTGCCTTGGGAGTTCCCATCTGTGACACTCACAGAAACACCCCGCTTAGAATGCGCAGCCTCATCCTTCACTCCAGGCCATCAATCTGAAGGAAGATAAATGCGGGTTAAGTTCAAGTTTAATTGGTGGCAAGTGGCAGGCCATAACACATGCCGCGGGATACAACCAGACACGAGTCCATGGGACTGCATGCAGAACATGGGAGTAGAATCAGGATGAGAAAGGGAAGCTGTGCGCTGCAGGCCTCTAAAGGTCAGAGAATGAAGAAGACCTCACAGGGAGAGGGTACAAGGACGGAGTGCAGTATGAGGAGGGGCAGGGTCTCCAAATCACTCCTCTGCCAATGGTCTCCCAGCAAGGCCTCACTCCTTGTGATAGGTGAGTGCTGTGCAAAAGGGTCTGTCCAGGGCCAGGAAAATCTGGCTGGCACGGAATACTTAGTTTTCAAGGAAAACTGAAGGATGTGAGCACAACTCATGACATGTTAAATGAAAGCCAATGCCGCAGAGTACCAAGAAAAGAAATGACATGGAGATGGTGGGCAGAGGGGAAGAACTAACAGGTAACTGAGATCAGAGTAGAAATGACAGTGGGCAAAGCATCCAAATGGGGAAAGAAAAGGGGGATGAGGTGAGCCACGGGTACTGGCATCAGAATACTAGGAGATACAACAGGGGTTGCTGGTATAATGTGAAGCCAGCCCTGAGGCGACCGTCCCCATGGCTTCTACTCACCAGGGCCAGGCCTCCTCCAGATCTGCTTTGCTGTAGCTGGAGCTGTGTTTACCTTCTCAGGCACCCTGGGCTCCCCTCCGGCTCCATGTGGGTAACTACATGGGACCTGGAAACGGCGAGTCCTAAGGGGAAAGAAGAGCTGCTGAGTGGCTGGCAGCACCCCAGAGCAATGCTCTCCACAGAAAAGATTAAATATTTTAAGAAGAATCTTAGAAAAGTGTCTTGCAGGAACAGCTCACTGTTCTTCACAAGGAATGACCACGTCGGTGCCTGCAATTCCTGGAACAGTCAGGTCCCAGGAAAAGTCAACTAGAAGAAGGGGTAAGAATGTGGGCAGAGACCAGGGGTTTGGACAGACACCCAGTCAAGGTGTGGCCAGGCCATCTGGGATCTGTTGGGCAGACCCCAAGACTCCTGACCCCCAAATCCTTCATTTCAAAGCTTTGGGAGAAGAGAGGTTGGGGCTGCTGCAGAAGAGGAGCTAGTGCCCACTGTCCGGCCCTGGGACCCACACCACCTACTCCAGGAAGTCAAGGAAAGGGGTCGTGCCATGAGAGTACTGTCAGACAGACAGCCGCCATTTGGGAAAAAAGGGGAAGAACAAAACTCAGCCCAGGAAATTGGGACTCATACCTATCCTCTGGTATCCATGTCCTTGTAAGTCCTTCCAGCCGAATGTGGGCTGAACTTAAAACTTCTTTTTAATGAACAGAATATGGCAAAAATGATAGGATGTCACTTCTGAGAATAAATTACGAAAATACCAGCTTCTACATTGGATGCTCTCTCTTGCTCATGCTGGTGGAAATCAGCTGCCTTGTTGTGATCTGCTTATGGAGAAGACAACATGGCAAGACCCCGAGGGAGGGCTCTGGCCAAAGGCCAGCAAGAAAATGACTAATTAGTCCAACAGCCTCCAGCTCAGGTGCATGACCTTGAAAGGAGATTCACCTCCAGTTGAGCCTTCAGATGAGACAGCAAACTTGGACAGCTTGACAGCAAGGTTATGAAAGACCTTGAGCCTAGAGGTACCCAAGTAAGATATGCCTGATTCTTGACCCACAGAGACGGAGATAATAAGTGTTCATCTTCATCCCACTGAGCTTTGGGATAACTTGCCATGTAGCAACAGATAACTAAAGCAGGGCCTTACCCAGTGAGGACACAAGTGCAAAGTTCTCCAGCATCACATCACGGTACAGGAGTCTCTGAGCTTCCTCAAGGAGCTCCCACTCCTCCCGGGAGAAGTACACGAACACATCCTCGAAGGTCACACAGCCCTGTCACGACGGGGGACAGTTGAGCCCACAGGCCACGGGGGTCTCCTGTCTATCCACTCACACAACCACCCCTGGTCCCTCTCCTCCTAGCCTCCCACGTAAGAGCAGATACCAGGCTTTGGTACCACCAGTGCCTGCGCTCTCCTCATATCTCTCTGATCACTGTGTGCGGCCTGGAGCCAGGCAGGTGGGCAGATAAATACTGCGTAAGCTGTGGGTCTTCCATGAAGGGCACCAAACTCTCTAGCTGGCCAGTTCTCCTGGTGTCCTTCAGACCATGCCTCCCAGACAAAAGCAAACTTGGGCTCAGCCTTGTTCCATAAGCCCCCAGTACTAGGGCCTTAAAACTGGCAGGTCACATTCCTCCCGAGTCTCCCTACCTCCTCCCTCACTTCCAGTCTCCACTCTAGCCAGGGGGAGCCTGCTGAACGAAATCTGTGTCAAACCACCTCCGTCCTCAGCTCCAAACTTTCAGAGGAGAGGCCCGGCGTCCGGGGCTGCCATTCCACTGCTCTCTATTCCCTTTGAGACGCAACGGAGACCCTGTTCACTCCCAACTCAATCTCACCTCCAAGCATTGGCACATGCCTGTTCCCGTGACTCGGTCACCCTTCCACTGGCCGCCCTGAACGGGAACATACCCATATAATACCGGACCTGGGCTCCGGACGCTGGGCCAGAAGTGACCTCCCCCAGGGACTCCACGACCAAGAAAATGGGAGATAAGAGTCCCACCACCACCGTCCGCCATAAGGAGGAACGGTGACCATGAGGGTGAGACGTGGCGGGGGATGGCGGGGAGGAGGCTGGGTGACCCTCCACTCACCTGCGCCGTATTCATCCGTGCTGCCGCCCCTGCCACGCCAGGGGTCCGGTTGGGCTGAGCAGGGCCCGAGGGTCGGGCGACCAGGGTGGGTCCCGAGGGCTCAGCTTGGGCGGGGTCGCCTGCGGCTGCGTGTCGCGCTCCGAGCTTCGCTGTAAGATGGTGTGAGATGCTCACAAGGCCCCGGCCGCCGCCTTCGGGGGCCTGGGCGACGGAGCGCGGGGACCTCAGGGAAGGTGCAGTGCCGGCGGCGCCCGTCCCACAGCCGGGTACAGTCTCGGGGAGATGGGGCCGACGCCGGGGCGTCACGGCTCGCCCAGGGCGCGGAGGCGGTCCCCGCCACGTCAGTCTCCTGCCCGGCGCGGCCCGGACTGGCCCGGTGCGCGCTCCAGTCCACGTGGTCGTGGCCCGACCAGCCGCCGCTCACCGAGGGATGCGCTGCTGCGCCGCGGACGGAAGTCCCGCCCCGGCCCGCAGGAAACCCCCCTCCCCGGCGGTCTGCGGCCCGTCGCTCGGGGCGGAAGCGCATAGCAGCCGCTTCTGGGTAATGTAGTGTAAGCGCGCCTGCGCCCCGGCGCGTGCGCCGGTCCCATCCTCACGGCGACGACCGGGGTCAGCCGGAACGCGCGGGGAAATAAATAGAGCCCAGGCTTCCCCGTAAAGAAAAGCACCCCAAGTCCCGCGGGCGAGGCGTGAAGCCCCGCCCCCAGAAGCCAGGCGTCGCGGGACCGGGGGACCTCTGCGGCCCGCCCCGACCCGGATGCGGGAAACTGCGGAGGCGGCTCAGCGCTGTAGTAAGGAATGCTGCTGCTGCTCCCAGGTTCGGCAACCGTGGCTCTACCGAGACTAGAACGGGAGCTAGGTCGCTCGGGGGATTTAAAGTGCCTTTCACGCGGTTAGTTCTCATTAAGTAACTAGGAGTTGGCATTAACATACCCTGCTGGGGTTGGCGAAGTCGGGGTTGCCTCTTTGCAGGATCCTTGGCATTATCGAAACAATCTACAATGACTTCTTGACCGGAAAGTAGCCTCACAGGTATTGATTAAAAATTTCACATAAAAGCACAGATTGAACTATTTGGCTTATTTAGTTATTTCTTAAACAGCGTGGCAGGAGAGTTTCTTAAACTACAGGGAGGCAAGTTGCCCAACACATGCATTACTACAGGCCACAGGATTCAGATCTCGGCAGAATCATGACTAGCGGCTGTCAGGGTTAAGTGGAGAGTGGAGCTGACATGGTCTCAATTTTGTGACATGACCCGTCATCTAGTTCACGGTAACCAGGACCTTCGTCACCTTGTCCTGCCCTTCTGATGCTTAGGGCAGGTAGGCCTAGGTACAAATACGTGATCATGAAGCTCAGAAGCTTTAGGTCATCATGCCCTGTCCTTATCAAAACAGTGTCACCGTGAGACCATCACCCGAACTTGCAGCCCCCAAAGGAGTACAAAATCCTGGGGCGCTGTGAAATCTAGATCCAATGAGAATATTCCCAGAATTGTGCACAAGTGTGAGAACAATTAAGGCACAATTTTACCATTACTTCTGCCTATATCCAGTTGGCCACAGCTCATTCACATGGTCCCAAAAGAAGTTTAAGGAGAGCTGAGACATGCCATCCTCCCAGGTGTCCAGACAGAGAAAATGGGACTAGTAAGCATCCAGCCACCTTGTCATAATCCATCAGTTTGGTCATCAGATATATATTTTATTATTTCTCCTATGCATTCTACACTGTCACTTTTTTACTGTTCCAACTCAGACCCCATGTAATTACTGAGGCCATCTCCCCGTTACAATCTCTACAGTGTTAACATTAGGAAACTATCAACACAAAGTAAATTGCTTCCACTCATATCCAGTATATGGTGGGTCAGGAACATATGGAATGACACAGTGAAGGTGCCAAAAAAATAATCGTCCACACAGATTTCTATACTCCACAAAATAGTATTTTTCAAGAAAGAACATGAAATAAGACTATAGGAAACCTAAAATGAAAAATATAATAGAAAACTAAGCCAAATAAAATGAATCCTGAGGTTTATATTTAAAGGAAAGTGATTCCAGGTAAAACGTCTGCACTGATGGAAGGAATGAAGATCCAAGAGAGAGATACATCTGTGGATTAATACAATTATTCACTATCTGAATAACACATGAACAATATCTCCTTGTTGAGTAGAATGATAGAATCACCATGCAATCCTCAATAATACCCCTTATATTGTGCAAGAAAAGGGTAAAGGTATTAACACTATATTCTGTTGTGTTACAGACATGTATTATAATTTTTACCTTAAACATTAATAAAATAGGACCATGTACATTCCTAACTAAAAGCAATGTTTAGAAAGCAAATAATCTAACAATGGAATATTATGCAGCCATCAAAAGGAATGAAATCTTGCCATTTGCAACGACGTGGATGGAACTAGAGGGTATTACGCTGAGTGAAATAAGTCAATCAGAGAAAGACATGTAGCATATGACCTCAATGATATGAGGAATTCTTAATCTCAGGAAACAAACAGGGTTGCTGGAGTGGTGGGGGGTGGG